AAGCTATGTGCATGAATGCTGATAGCAACTTTATTTCTAATAGCCCAAATCTGGAAACAACCCAAATGTCCATCAACAGGTAAATGGATAAGCAAACTGTGGTACAGTCATATAGTGGAATACTACTTGACAACAAAAAGCAAATGCTATTGATGCACATAACATGGATAAATTTCAAATTATATTAAGTGAAAGAAGCCAGAACGCCCCCCTCAAATACATGTGCTGATTCCACTTATATCAAATTATAGAAAATAAGAATGATTCTATATTGTCATAAAGCAGATCAGTGGTTGTCTCAAGGCAAGGAGACATAGGGATGGGTGGGAGGTAGGGAGGGGCTACAAAGAGACAAGAAACTTTTGGGAGTGGTACATATGTTCACTATCTTGATTGTGGTGATGGTTTCACATGTGTATACATATGTCAAAACTTATATTGTATATCTGAATATGTATGGTTTAATGTATATTAATTATATCTCAATAAAGCTATTAAATAAAAAAGCATGTGGCACATCTGTATAATACTAAATTAGAAAGACAAAAAGGCAAGTTGCAGAAAACTATAGCCTTATTTTTATAAGAAAATTGTTTTATTGTTTTAGAGGATATACAATAAAAGATTAGGCACCATGCACCAACTGTTAACACACACACAAAAATTAAGTGATTCAAACATATGTTGCAGAAGCATATTTACTGACATGGAAATATAGTCACAATATACAGGTAGTGGGGGGAAGCAAGTTACAAACAATATTTACAGTATAATCTTGTATTAGTTTCTTAACTGTTTAAAATTTCAAAGCATATAACCAATTATTTTTGCATACTGGGACATTCTCTTCAATGGTTTCATGAAGACTTTCAGGAATCACTGTTATATCATTTGAGGCAGCAGCTTCTCTCCTAGTTTTCCTCTTCTGTGTTGATAAAGCTCAGTTCTGGGTCTAAATTTCTCCATTTAAGTCTATCCTGTACAGTTTTAGCTGGTACAAATGCAGATAATGGACTACTAAAAGATGAAGCCTTTTGACATTTCATGACACATATATCAAACAGAAAAAAATGTAAATGGTAAAAAATTAAGTTATGATTTTGCAAGAAGGAAGAAAGCAATTATCTTTTTAAAAATATAATGTATGAAACAATGTACAGAATGATTCCAGTTCTTTGAAAAAAAGTACAATCAGACTGAAAAAGATAGGAAGGATATATGGAATATTTAACTTGCTACTGACTCCAAATTTGCATCTTATTCAACAGTATGGGGTACCTACTGTTTTGCACACACTGCCAGTTCATATCCATACAGTCATCCCAGACTTTTCTCTTGACCCCAGACAGGTATAGCCAAATGCCTAATGATGAGGTATCACCTCACACCTGTCAGAATGGCCGCCATCAACAAATCATCAAACAAGAAGTGCTGGCGAGGGTGTGGAGAAAAGGGGACTCTAGTACACTGCTGGTGGGAATGCAGACTGGTGCAGCCACTATGGAAAACAATATGGTGTTACCTCAAAAAATTAAAAATTGAAATTCCATTTGACCCAGTGATCCCGCTTCTAGGAATATACCCTAAGAATCCTGAAATACCAATCAGAAAGAATATATGTATCCCCATATTCATAGCAGCAATATTTACAATAGCTAGGATCTGGAGACAGGCCAAGTGTCCATCAGTAGACAAATGGATAAAAAAGCTGTGGCACAACTTCCGGTCAAGATGGCGGGGTAGATAAACGCGGTATCGCGTCCTCCCACAACCACATCAAACTTACAACTAATCTACAGAACCACCATCATTCAAAACCACCTGAAATCAAGCTGAATGGAAGTCCTACAACTACGGAATTAAAGCAGCAGCCACATCGAGACTGGTAGGAGGGGCGGAGGCGGACGGGCTGGTCCCACACCCACGTGTGGCAGATAAAAATCAAGAGGATACCTCGGCTGGGAGGGTCCTCACTGAGGACTCAGGGGTCCCCATCCCATACCAGACGCCCTGCTCAGGGTTCCAGTGCCAGGAAAAGAAGTCCCCATAACTTCTGGCTGGAAAAACCAGCGGGAACTGAGGCTCAGGGAAGTTGACATGGCTGGAGCCCCAGGCAGCTCCTCTTAAAGGGCCCGTGCAGGGACTTATCGGACTCTCTCCCTCTAAGCTTGGAGGTGAGGCAGCTCGAGGGGCACCAGAGACATACAGGGAAGAACTGAGCTGTTTGGCACTGGAGCGAGGGCTAGAGAGGGGACTTTTTCCTGGACAGGCGTGCTGTCAGAGGCCTTTGTCCCTTTGGTGAGCCCTTCCCTGGGGTGGCAGACAGTCACCATATCTGGGACTCCAGCAACCTGGCTCACACTGGTAGCCCCACCCTGGGGATTCCCTGAGGCCCTGCGCCACCCTACTTTCAGGCCTAACCAAGCTGTTGCTAGTTGCTTTACCATAGGATTGGCCTGTCTTGGATCCTGCTTCAGATTTTCCTAAATTCTTTCAAACAAGCAACATCTGGTCTCAGCTAGTCCCATACCTCTCGTTAAGTAATACACAGAAACAAACACGGGGAGGCAGCCAAAATGAGGAGACAAAGAAACAGGTCCCAAATAAAAGAACAGAACAAAACCCCCCAAAAAGAACTAAGCGAAATGGAGATAAGCAACCTAACAGATGCTGAGTTCAAAATACTGCTTATAAGGATGTTCAATGAGCTTAGTGAGGGCCTCAAGAGCATAAAAAAGGACCCGTCAGAAATGATGGATGCACAGTCAGAAATGAAGGAGGCATTAACTGAAATAAAGAACAATTTACACAGATTCAATAGTAGAGTATGTAAATCCAAGAAGCAAACCATCGATTTGGAATATAAGGAAGCAAAAAACACCCAATCAGAACAGCAAAAAGAAAAAAGAACCCCCCAAAATGAGGATATTGTAATGATCCTCTGGGACAACTTTCAGTGTGCCAACATTCGCATCGTGGGGGGCCAGAAGGAGAAGAGAGAGAACAAGAAATCGAAAACCTGTTTGAAACAATAATGACAGAAAACTTTCCTAACTTGGTGAAGGAAACAGACATACAAGTCCAGGAAGCACAGAGAGTCCCAAACAAGATGAACCCCAAGAGGCCCACACCAGGACACATCATCATCAAAATGCAAAAGGTTCAAGACAAAGAGAGAATCTTAAAAGCAACAAGAGAAAAGCAGTTAGTTACCTACAAGGGAGTTCCCATAAGACTGTCAGCTGATTTCTCAAAAGAAACTGCAGGTCAGAAGGGAGTGGCAAGAAATATTCAGAGTGATGAAAAGCAAGAACCTACAACCAATATTACTCTATCCCGCAAAGCTGTCATTTAGAATCGATGGCCATATAAAGACTTTCCCAGACAAGAGAAAGTTAAAGAAATTCATTACCACCAAACCGTTATTATATGAAATGGTGAAGGGTCTTTTTGAAGAAAAAGATAAAAAATATGAACAAACAAAATGGCAATGAATACATATCTGACAATTGACAATTGAATCTACAAACAAAATGAACAAGCAGAGCAGAAATATTCTCATAAATACAGACAACATTTTGTTGGTTGCCAGATGGGAGGGCGGTTGGGGGAATGGGTGAAAAAGATGAGGGGATTAAGACGTACAAATTCATTGCTAGACTGACAAACCTCAAAGGGAAAGGGGTTGGGGGGTGGGAAGAAATAAACCAAAGAACTTATATGCATAACCAATGGACACAGACAATAGTGTGGGAAAAGGCGGGAGGGGGCAGCAGTAGGGAGGAGGTGGTCAATGGGGGAAAAATGAGGAACATCTGTAATACATTCAACAATAAAGATTTTTAAAAAAAGCTGTGGTACATATACACAATGGAGTACTATGCAGCTGTGAGAAAGAAAGATCTCTTATCCTTTGCGATGACATGGAGGGAACTGGAAAGTATTATCCTAAGTGAAACAAGCCAAGCAGAAAAAGACAAACACTACATGATCTCACTCATTTATGGAATATAATGAACATACAGTCTGAGGAATAGGGTAGACCCAGAAACATGGAAGTGGGGTACAGCCTGACAATCCCCAGAAGAGGGGGTGGTGGGGGAGGGAAGAGATAAACCACAAAACTTATGCATGTATGCATAACCAATGGACATGGACAACAAAGCTGGGGACGGGATAGGGGGGATGGGGAGGAGGGTGTCAATGGGGTAAAAATGGAGAAACATCTGTAACAAAAATAAAATAAAAAATAAATAAATGCCTAATGGACATGTGCATCTGGAGGAGGTAAAAAACAATGGCAAGACTGGCAGGGGCATTATCAACAGCAAAATAAATCATTAAAACCAGTCTCTGAGCCTTCAAGGCCACCACCTAAAAAAGGGAGGATTGTAAGGTAGCCTAAGGGTGGGTTCTGTTATTACATGAAACAGCTATGTGATGTGCCTGCCATGGGAATCTAGGAAAAAGTATTTAACCTCCCTAATTCTCATTGGAGGTTATCCAAAATAATGAGTTATAAAAGAAAAAGAAAAAACAACAAAAAAACCCACAAAACACTATCAGTACCTCGCTCACAGGACCATTGTGAGAAGACAAGGGGGAAAAAACAACCTGTAAAGTATCGTACCAATACAACATCTGAGATAAGAGCAGGTACTCAGCAAATGTTTCCTCCATATACCTATCCCCTCTCTCTTTTGTGAGATGACTTTGACATAAATGAAACACTGTAACAATGAGTTATAAATGTAGTAGCAACATTTAGAAATGAATATTACATTTCGTCTAGGATGCAGGACCATTTCTGTGTTTTAGAATGTTATATGATGCAGGCAGAATAGGAGAAAAACTAATTCCTCTTACATTAACAACTTATAGAAACCCCTGCCTCCATTATGTTATCAAGGGTGTCCATTTTGCAATGAGTGCGAATATATGATGTTAGTTATCTTTTTGTGTGTTATATGCCTTATTTCTGCAACTATACAAGTTAAGGCTTTTTTTTTTTTTTTTTTTTTTTTTTTGCCATTTGAAGCCACATATGGATCTGAGCAGATATTCATGAACAAGTTAGCTTACTTAGGATGAACTGGTTCACTAATTTCTTAAGTAAAATGTAAGTGCCCCATCTACACAAGATAAAAATCAAGAGACATTTTCAGCTCACGATGTAATATTTATTTGATACCCCCAAAATGGTCTAGCTGAAACCTAGACACTGTCACAGGTAATATTGTTGAACATGTAATTCATAATGTGCACACTATAATAAACAAAACATTGTGGAAGGCTGTTTGAGAACAGACAGCCTATCAGAATTTGGAGATTGTTCTGTGTTTATTTCTGGCTCATTTTACATTGTTTCAATAATCACTTTAACTTCACGGAAAATGGCCATGAGTGTATTATAACTCAAGTGATCAACAACTACAATTGAACCCTTTCTGATATGCTCCTTTATGTTAATAAATATGGCCACGGCACTAACAAGATTGGCTTTTGCTTCTTTCTGGTTAAAGATTAGTTTTAATGCTGCCAATGCCTTTGTATTGATCATGTCTCTGGCTGCAACTGGGTTTTCAGACATATTCAAAAGTACTTTCAAAACAAGATTTCTGGTTTTGTGATTTCCCTGGGAAAGCAAGTTGAAAAGCTCTGAAAAATAACTGGCAACAATATGGTGATGGTTAGCAGCGGTAGTCAGTTGCCCTAGTATTTTTAAGCCAGACTGCTGTCCAGGTGAGTTCAAGGGAAAACATATGGTTTCCTTACACATATGTTTAACATGTAATTCAATCTTGCGGTATCTTTCATTCCCAGAAGGAGAATTCAGAGTAATCACAGCCCTTTTTCTCATTTCAGAGGAAGGAAAACTAAGCAAGCTTTCAATAAGTGTCACTACACCTACCTCATTAATGAACTCTTGGGCAAATGGATGAACATTAATGATCCCCATTGCAATTTGAGCTATTTTATGAATGAGAGGATCAGTAGTTGACTTAAGCAAGGTAACAAGTTTTTCAAATTCCTCAGAATTCATGTAACATTCCATTTTGCAAGGGCAAGCAAATGGCTTAATCCCATTCACCTCCCTGATCCTGATTTGGCGTCTAATCTCCTCTATGGTCTGAATGCAAGGGTCAGAACCAAATGGGTACTCTGGGAGAGGTTGTGAGCATGAGGGTGTGCTCTTAGAATGACACACTGTTGCCATAGGCAAAGAATGAGTATTTTCCTCAGCTGAGGCCAGCACAATATATGAAGGAGGCCTTGTCTCAGATGGGACTTGGGATCTAAATCCTAACACTGCTGGAGTTACAGCAGGGGCTTTGGGCCAGATAGTTACTTCAGACCAGTCCTTGGGCCTATTTTTTTCATTAATTTCATCCACAGGCTGGGGCCTAACTATTCTGCTCACAGGTTTAGGATTAGGGTCAAAACTAGTTTCATCTCCGTCCCAAAACCAGTTCCCAATAACGTTCTCTTCCTCCTCCTCTTCAGCCCCTGGCCTAGCCTTACAGCTAGCCCTGGCCACAGGCTCCAATTTTTCAGCACAGGATGGGGGACCAATATCAGCTTTACCTTCATCAGCTTTACCTTCATCAGCTTTACCTTCATCCTTGGCACTGGAACGATTACCAGTCTCTTCTCCATTCCAGAACCAGGAACCAACACTGGTCTCTTCCCCAGCCCAGAACCAGGTATCAATACCAGCCTTATCTTTACACATGGACTTGGACTCAGAGCTAGCCTCAGCCACAGAACAACACTGAGATATTGGAGTCGCTTCCTCTTCAACATTAGGACTGAAATTTGTCAGGGCTCCTTCTTTCATCTCAGTAACAATCTTGCTCTTAGACATTGCCTTCACCTCTGCCACTGCATTTGCCTGAAACCCTGGCTTGGCTATTGCTTTGGCCTGGGTCTTGGCTAGAGGTCTGACTATGCCAGTAGCCTCCCTCTTTGATTTAGCTTCTACACCAGCCCTTTTTTCAGTTTTGGCCTTGTTTCTACTCCCAGTCATGGTTAAAGCCTAGTTATATCAACAGCCCTATAGTCTTGGCTTTGGTTCTCAAAGTGTCCCAGGTCAATGTGTTGACACAATTTCACTGGGTCAGAAATAAGCTCTGTAGCAAGAATTAGAGTCAACTGTCAGTTCAGCAGTCACACAGTCCCTTTTCCAAACACAAAGCTTCTGTCAATGACACAGACAGAGGGCAGAGGCACTCAGACTGAGGGAAGATGATGGTTCCTGAGTGCAGACCTGTCGAAAGTGATAATCTTCCACCACTCCAAGGTCACCACAGCCACACCTGGAGATGGACCTAAGGTGGAAGAAAGGAACAGGCTTTGAACCTCTTCCAACTGGGCTCATCTATGCAGACAGCCATACAGGACACGAGAGAGCAGAGATTGAGTGTGTGGTAGAAGTGAAATTGCAGATGACTGCTACCTCATTTCATCCCTTCCACACTCCCACTAATGCCCAACAATGTCCTGCTCAGGCACTACCACACTCTTCTCTGTATTAAATAGGAGTAGAGATGATGGAAAAGCTTGCTGAAAGTGAGAGAGGCTACAGACCAGCCAGCCCCTTTGGCATATACACCACTATACTCTACAGGTCTATCCAGGTAGGCCTCACACCAACCTGCACTGATATCCTTCTTTCCTTGCTTGCTTCAAGTGTTGATAATCCGTATAGCTGAAATCACAGGCAGACCTATGGACAAAAACACAGCAGGGATTGGAATTTGGAGTTTTGGTAGACAGACATGTACTTTGGTTTCTAGACATAATACCTAGGTACTTTTCCAAATCCGGGGCTTTTGTTATACAGTTGGCCCTTGAAAAGTGTGAGGGTTGGGGAGCTGAAGTTGAAAATTCAGATAACTAAAGTCGGCTCTCTGCACACATAAATTCTCAACCACCGAGTGGAACCTTGAACAATGTGCTTTTGAACTGCAGTCAGTATAACTGTGTGGATCAACTGAACTGTGGTCCACTGAAAAATATCCACATATTAGTAGCCCCACATAGTTCAAACCCATGTTGTTCAAAGGTCAACTGTATGTTTGTGGCCTCCTTGGTCCTCCTCTTGGCTTCCCTTCCCATTTCCTAGGTGTCTGTCAATTACCCTATAAGCATAATCCTGGCTCACCCCCATCCCCTATTTCCTATACCAAATATGAGGGCAGAGCTGTCTAGAATGTTGGAAGACAATGGCTCCAAGATATGCTCTGGTCTCACCCACTTGCCAACAGCCAATTTCCATCCCCAATCAAGAGGGATGCTCATGCTCATACTCACTTTGGATCCAAATGAAAAGTTTCAGTCTTCTTTCTTAATCAAATTCAAAGTCAATAGCTACCTGCAGATTTCTACAGGAACCTATAAAAGAATAAACCTAGACAAACAAACAGGCAGAGAGAAAACAAGAGATTGAGATGGCCCAACACCCATGACAAGTGTCATAACATATGCTTTTGTACAATCAAAGTCACTGTAAATGTCTCCCACCTGTCTGTCCCTGCAGAATGATTGTCCATCCATTCCCCTAAGACCTGCAGCTTGTCTAATTATACCTCCCAACTCTGAAGTCAGCTATTTTCCCAGCAGAGGCCACACCTCTTTTCCCTGAACAAAAATATGAGGTGCAAGAGTGGGTAGTGGAAAATAGGCAACTCTATTTAGAAAGCAGGCAGTACTATGGAAAACAATCTGGTGTTACCTCAAAATATTAAAAATTGAACTTCCATTTGACCCAGTGATCCCACTTCTAGGAATATACCCTAAGAAGCCTGAAACACCAATCAGAAAGAATGTATGTACCCCCATGCTCATAGCAGCACTATTTACAATAGCTAAGATCTGGAAACAGCCCAAGTGTCCATCAGTAGACAAATGGATAAAAAAGCTGTGGTACATATACACAATGGAGTACTACAGAGCTGTAAGAAAGAAAGATCTCTTATCCTTTGAGACTACATGGAGGGACCTGGAAAGTATCATCCTAAGTGAAACAAGCCAAACAGAGAAAGACAAGCATCATATGATCTCACTTACTTGTGGAATATAATGAACATAACAGTCTGAGGAATGGGGTAGTCCCAGAGACGTGGAAGTGGGGTAGACTGACAATCCCCAGAAGAGGGGGTGGTGGGGAAGAGATAAACCACAGAACTTATATGCATGAACAGTGGACACGGACAACAAACTGGGGGCAGGGAGGGAGGGGGAGGGGGGAATCAATGGGGGTAAAAAGGAGAAACATCTGTAACAAAAATTAATTAATAAAAATAAATAGATCCTAGAAAGCAGGCAGTAAAGATAACGGGGACTATTATTTTAATAGCATTTTTGCATGCCTCTGCCCTTTCCCATTCTCTATGTATACACAGGCCCTATCTCATTCACCACCTATGCCAGCCAGCACACACAGCAGGGGATCTCAGGAGTTGCTACCCTTCCTACCAAAGAAAACTCCTCTAGCTGGAGAAGAGTCACACCATATAGAAAGAGGGAAGGCTATCCAGCAAAACACCAGGAAAATATGTTGACAATGGTATAAAAATATCAGGTTAATGAACAGATACCCAGAGTTGAGGTCCTAAAACCTCCTTTTCAAGAATACGGAAATAAGTAAATAAGTGCATGTCAACTCCCATGGTTCCTCAGGTATCCCATCTCAGGAAATTCATGAAAGCTTTTGTGAGACTGCCCCTGCACCAAAATGAGAGGCCCTGTGAGGGGTAGATAGAGATGGAATTTAGGTTTCCTGAACTAGAAACTAAATGAGCAGAGGGACTACAAGTATTTGAAATGGAATCTTCAGAAAACTTTCTTCTCAACTCTGAACTCCCATTACCTCAACATATTCAAGTATGCTGGGATGTTGAGTAAACAGATCCCGAATAAATAAGAAAGATAGATTAATAGCATGCTGTTTGTTTATATAGACCCTTCCAGTGAAAGTCAATCCACTCCTTACCCTGTCATTTGCTTGCATTTAATTGGGTGCAAAATCTAAATATGAAAAGCAATAAAAGTACTGTATTAAGAGGCGGGTAAATATTTCATTTTGGTGTCTTCTTAATTCAGTCTCATTTCTGCTGAAATCGCCAGACCTAAAGCGCAGACATGAGACTTTGGCATCAACCAGGCGCCTGTGGGAAGGGAGAACACGCAGGACGCGGGGCCCAACAGGTCCCTGTCAGACTCCGGGCCCCGAGTAGGCAACACCATCGCCCCCGCCCTGGCGCCCCCAGCCCAGCCAGCTCCGGTTCCGCCATTTCTCCCGCGGCAGCCTCCCCCACAACCGTCTCCCAGCACAGACTCCCTCGAGGGCGGGGCGCGGGCGCCAGGAAAGCTGGCGGGAGCGTGATTCGCCTCCGCAGGGGCCCCAGGAGCCTCTCCGGCCACCCTGCGCCCTGGGCCGGCCCGCGCCGGTTGCCGCCGCCGCCTCCTGGCCAGGGTCCCCCCGGCCGCTGCGCACCTCTCTCAGGGACCGGCTCCGACCGGCCGGTGGCCTCCTCCTCGCCAGGATGCCAGGGGCTGGGCGCGGGCTGTAGGCTTGTGGAGAGTGGGGGGCCACCCCCGCCCCACCACACCCCCACTTGCCTTCACAGCCTCAGGCCCCAGGTGGTCGTGCTCCCCTGTCCTCAGAGCTCCGCACTCAGATTCCCACCGCTTCCGAGCGCTCCGAAGTGCAAAGCGGCGTCCCGCCCCCCTCCCCCCTCGCGCCTCTGCACCAACCCCGCCAGGGGCTGCGCAGGCTGCGGCACGAACTGCTGGCAGCAAGGGTGTCGGGAAGGGGGGCGGAGGGATACGGCACGAATGGACTCGACGCCCCCTCCCAGGCCCACCATAGTTCCGACCCGAGGGGGCGGGGCCGGGGCCTGGAGGAGAGCCAGCGGGGGGGCAGACTGAGGCCAGCCCGCTTCAGCGGACCAAGGGGGCCCCCTGCTTGGCGACTACCCTCCTGTTCCTGGCACTACAATCCGGGGGACCTGTGGGCGCGGGGCTGGGGGCCAAGGCTGGAGGTCGGAAGGAACTGCGCTGGAGGCAGCAGCGGAGGGATACAGCCCGCTCTGTAGTGTACAGTAGTCCCTCTCCACTTCCAACCTGGACTTTTCAGGCTTCACTGGGAGGCGGTTTTTTCAAATACTGTACTATATTTGAAAAAACCGGGATAGAGTGAAGCCCCGAGAGTGGAAGTGTGAAGTGGTGATAAATAAAGAATCCTACCTCGTGGAAATTCATATATGGCGGTAGAGTCTGGAACTGATCAACCGCGATAAAGGAGGGCCAACTGAATGTCAATCCCCAGACTGATCTGTCTGCCTCCCTCCTTCTCCCCCCTCCACCCGCCATCCTTCCTGGAAGCTGATGGGACGGGGCTGTGAGAGGAGAGGCAATCCAGGGCCAGACTACCCCACATGTCCTGGGGTGACCCCCAAGGTTTTCTTTTATTGTTGGGGGGGGGCTGCCATGGAGACCACATCATTCTCCCCTCTTCTAAAGGAGGGTAGACCTAGACCTCTAACCCTGGGAAACAGTCCAGTAATCTGCGTCCAGAGTCATACTCTCTGCCACACTGCCCCCCCATTCGAAATGGTTACACGTGTTGCCATTTTGTGATCCTTGCAGTTGCCCAAGAGTTCTCTTCCCTGTCAGGACCCACACTGGCCATGCAATCTCCCTGCCTGTCGCCCCACAGCCAAGTGTCAAGCACCAGGTAGGCAGGACCCGGCTTCTCTTCCTCTGTTCTGTCAAGTCTTCTCTTGCAGTTACATCCAAACTCTCTCGTGATCTTTTCCAGTGTGGAAGTGTGGCAGGATTACAACCATCTTGGATCTCAGTCACTGCCAATACACGCCTGTCTAGTGTATCCGTTAGAACTGTTAGCACATTTATCATATATATTTTAAATTCCCTGATAATTACAGTTTGCAATATATATGAGCCTGGTTCTGATGTTTGCTTTGCAGTCTCAATCTGCTTTTTCTTGTCTTTTAGCATGCCAATTTTTTGTTGAAAGCTAGATTTGCTGCACTGGGCAATAGGAACTGATGTGAATAGACCCTCAGCAAGAAGTTTTGGGTTAGGCTGTTGAGCTGAGTGTAATGTTTGCTGTAGCTGTAGGTGCCAGTGTTCAAATTCCTCTAGGGTCCTTATTTTGTCTTCCTTCTTAACTTTGGGTTTCTCTAATTACTCCTTGCAGAGAGTCTGCATGTTACAACTCTTAGCTGTACTCCACTCCTATTATACTGGAGGCTTGTGACATGGTAAAAACATGTGGATAATATTATAATCTTACAATTAAATTCCAATCCTTTGTGGGCCTGTGTTCCTAGGCTGTGTCTTTCACAAATATTTCTTAGCTTCTTTCCCTTATGTGAGTGGGCTGGTTAGGAGAAATGCCTTTCCCTTAGCAGAGATAAGGCTCTGGGTATGTCTTTTCCACTGTAGAGTAGGCCTTTGTCACGGAGAAGGTTCTGGGTGTATCTTACACGAGCACACTTCCCCTCTCACTGCCAGAGCCATGAGATATATCTGGGATCTTCATGGTAAAAACCTGCTCGAGTTCCAGGATTTAAAGCCCACAAATCTCTAAGACTGCAGGTTGTGTTTCTCACTCATACTATTCCACACTCAGTCTCCAGCAATTTGTCAAAATTACTATTTTAAGTCTTCTCCCATGTTTGTGTCTCTAGCTGTTTGTGCTCTATGTAAGGAGAGATAGACTGTGACTCTCCGGATTTGTCTTTTCTCCAGAATTTAGGGTGGTCATTTGCCCTGTGACCTCAGTTTTCTGATAGGTCTAAAATAAGTAATTGATTCTCAGTTTGTTTAGCTTTTTTCTGGTGATAAGTACAGGAACAATGACTTCCAAGCTCTTTACATGGCAACTGGCACTGGAAGTCTTGCCTATGGATTTTAATCCAGGGAACAGCTTTTGTCTTCTATTCAGCTGAACTTCAGATCTGAACAATGAGAAACTATCTGATATTCTGAAATACCTGCAGCATGTATCAGGTCTTTCTAGTTCCTTTTTAAAATGTGATCTAGTTATATTATGGGGTAGGCTGGGGTAAGTAGGAAGAGTACATGAGAAGAACTACTCGGTGGCTTTTAACAGTCTTAATTGCTAAGACATTGCCCTGTGCTCTTTGTTACTATAACCTCAATGCTTTGAAGTACTCTGTTTTGCCTACCATAACTAACCCCTGACTAAAAGAACATCAAGTTTCCCTCCCTCCTCATTGTGGTCATGTACCACAGGGAGGCTGATCCCAGTTCCACGGGTGAGTCTGCATTATCTAGGGATAATCAGTTCCCTTGGTACTCTGTGGTTCAGGAAGGAGTGATAATCTAATTCTAATTCTACTCAATAACACATTAGGAGAAGAGTGCAGAAGAACTCAGAAAAGTGTCCTCACTCATAAGGAAAGGCAATCAGGAAGAATTGTCTCCATTTCTTTCTTAGGAAATTGCTTCGCTCCTAGATTCATTGCAGCCACCAAGCTTCCAGCCTTAGGATGGAAGCTGATAGAGTCATCCCTTGCCAGTTCGAGCTTCCACTTTCGCGGCTTTACTCTATCGCGGTTTTTTCAAATATATTCATTAAAAAGTTGATTGAGACAGTAAAAATGATACAGGATGCGCTGGGTTGCCTAAGTCAATTATACACCC